TTCAGGGCAGGGGGTTGGGGTGCAGGAGGGGTGCGGGGTATGGTTGGGGTGCAGGAGGGGTGTGGCAGAGGGTTGGGGTGCAGGCAGGAGGCTCAGGGCAGGGATTTGGGGTGCGGGCTCCGGCCTGCTGCCACTTACCTGGAGCAGCTCTGGGATGGCAGCTGCATACACTGGGGCCAGGGCAGGCTGCCTGCCTGCCCTGGCCCTATGCCGCTCCGGGAAGCGGCTGGCACCATGTTCCTGCGGCCCCTGGGGAAAGGGGGGCAGAGGGCTGAGCGCCCTGCCCTTGCCTGTGGGTACCTCCTTCAAAGCTCCCATTGGCCAAGGTTCCCCGTTTCCAGGCAATGGGAGCTTTGGGAGAGGTACCCACAGGCAAGGGCAGCGCGCTCAGCCCTCTGCCTTCCCTCCCCTAGGGGCCGCAAGGACGTGGTACCAGCTGCTTTCCGGAGCGGAGTGGGTGCCATCGGGGTGTCAATCCCGCGGGCCGGATCCAAAACCCTGAGGGGCCGGATCTGACCCGTGGGCTGTAGTCCCCTTGTGTAGAGGATCAAGTTTATAGGAGCAGGTCTTGACTCCAAGTCACCAAGCCAGAGTTCAGGCAATACTGGACCTGTGCAAGGACCTCAAGGTCCATCCTTGTACAACAGCGTGCCATACTTCAGCTCAGAAGCATGTGGGCGTGTTTGAAGTCTGTATACCATCGGTCTCATCCCCTGCTGGACATATTGACTCAGATACAGGTGGATGGACTCTGCCAGTGTATGCAAAGGGGTCTCTTTTCCCCTGATTCTGCCCTCCAGGACTATGGTCATGGATGCCTTATCCCTCACTTGGGGGACTTCCAGACTTGGGGGCTTTGGTCAGATCAGGAATTCTCTTGACACATAAACGTGTGAGAAATGCAAACAATTCACCTGGTTTGTTGTTTTCCTTCTACAAATCAAAGGATGCACTGTGCAAGCTCATGGAAAATGCTGCTGCTGCTATGTTCTGCTTGAATAGGCAACAGGTGCCAAGTCAGATTGCCTTTACCAAGAGGCTGTAGATATCTGGGATCTTTGCATCAAAAATGTTGTCATACTCAATGCTTCACACTCCCAAGGTATTCAGAACCATGTGGCAGATCATCTCAACAGAACAATTAACAGGAATTACAAATGGTCCCTCAGAACACACATTGCAAAATCCATTTTTCAAGCTTGGGAAAAGTCAGAGAAAGATCTGATGACTATGTAACTGAAGAGGAAGTGTTACCTGTTACCTTCTAGAGCAGGTCACAGCCCAAGCTCTATCTCAAGCTATGTCTACAGTACAAAGTAGGGGTGTGATTCCCCTGCTTGCGTACGCAGTCATGCTAGCGCTCATTGAGCTAGCTTGACTATAAATAGCAGTGAAAATGCAGCTAAGTCTTGCCTCCGTTGCCACTCCCGATGCTACCATGGCTACATCACTGTTTAACTCGCATTGCTATGTGTACCTGAGCAGGGGACTCTCGCCCCTAGCTCGTTGTGTAGATGTAGCCCTCTGCTTTCTTTTTGTTGTGGAAGGACATGCTGTTTACATGTCTTCCCTATTCTTCTGATTCCAAAGGTGGTATTCAAGCTCAGACAGGATCACACTACTCTGATCCTGATAGCTTCAGCCTTGACAGCATTGTTTCTCAACCTACTGATTCTTTGCAGCCAGGATCCCATGACTCTCCCTCAAGACACCAGTATTTTACAGGACCACGGCCAGATGCTGCTTCCCAATCTTCGCAGTCTTCATATGACCAGTTGAATGCTCAGTAGCTAACACTTGAGGAAACTGCATGTTCCCTAGAGGTTCAGAACATTCAGAACAGCAGAAAGCCATCCACCAGATACATTTACATGATGAAATGGAGATGTTTCTCTCTGTGGTCCCAGCAGCAGGGTGGTACTCCTACAAAGTCCTCTCCTCAGCTTATTCTGAAATACTTTCTCTAAAGGAAAAATGGATCTTCCATCAGCTCACTGAGAGTTCTCTTGGTGGCATTCCATCCTCCTATAGAGGATTAAATCTGTGTTTTTCAACTCAATAACTCTGATTTTTTTTTAAAGAAATTAGACAGACTCTTTCCACCTATGAGACCCCATGCCCCCATAAGATCTAAAGGTAGTTTTGTCAGCATTAATGGGTCCACCTTTTGAATCTAGGGCTGCTTGTTCATATTTTACATCTCCTATCCACTTAACTGTTTTTTCTGAAGCCTCAGTCTCATAAGGATGAAGAAAAAGCTTTGGACCACCACAGGGTGTTCGCCTGTTACCTGGGCAGGACTAAAGCAGTAATGTCCCTGTAGCTGTTCATTTCCTTTGCTGATACAATGAAGGGGCAACCTTTCTCTATGCAGAGAATATCTTCTGGATCTCATCCTGCATACTGCTATGACATTACCAAGGTTTCTCCACCTGAGAGTTTCAGCTCCAAGAGCACAAGCAGCATTAGCTTAGCTGCATTCCTGTGTCAGATGCCCATCAGTGACGCGTGCAGGGATGCAACTTGGTCATTGGTACACACTTTAACTGAGCTTTGCTTTCTCCCAAGCCTCAAGAGATCATGATAGAGTTGGGAAAGTTATGCTGCAATCTTTGTTCAGGTAGGCTCCAAAATCCTTCTCCATTCTGAACTGCTTCTGTCACTTGAAAAGGAATGGACACATGCAATCACTTGAAGAAAATACTGTTACTAACTTGTTCTGTAACTGAGATGTGTTGCATGTTTCCATTCCACGACTCACCCTTCTTCCCCTCTACACTGGAGTCTAAGCATACTGGATTCTGGTGTGAAAGAACTTGAGGGATGGTCAGAGTGGCTCTGCCCGTTATACCATTGGCTGTCAGCACACGCATGCAGTGGGCTGTGTGCTGCCCCAATGGGTAGTGCTGTGGGGGAAAGAATATCTGGCTTTAATGCACTGGTTGTGCACACACCTGAAATGGAATGGATGTGTGCAACGTATATCAAAGGACAACAGTTACAGAACAGGTAAGGAACCATTTTTTCTGTTACTACTTTTTAAAAGACGCACAAATGATGTCAGCATCCATTTCACAGCTCGAGAAGACTAGAGATGATGATGAGCCACAAAGATGAAAAATAAGATCATTTAGCTATCAGTAACATCTTTTCTGAAGAATTTGACTTTTTGTTTCTCCTTCCCTCCTGCCCTGTGCAATGGCTTCATGTCACCAAGGGTATTCGACTGAGAAGACGGTACTGAACAGCTTTCTTCCTGCTAGCTTGATGAGGCCTTCATCAATCAAAATGCCATTGTTAAAAATTATTTTTGGCTTGCTGTTTAAAGAAAGATGTTGGAAAAATCTCACCTTTCTTGTGACTTAGTTTGTGAGCTTGTCTGATGTAATAGTTTGGGTTTCTTTTGGTCTTTATCTTAAATGCTTCATCTTTCTCTTCACAGTACAAATTCATTGCCTTCTTCATCAATTAGAAAGCTTGACTGGATATAACTCGAAATTAAATAGTATTGGCAGCAGTCCATGTGTTGGCCTCTCCTTGCCCAGTGAGCAAAACTGACACACAGTCCTCCATTTGAACCTTTCTTGGGTTTTAACCAGTGAAGTAGGCATTTCTGACTCTGGCTGAATGTTGCATTAGATCTTTACCTGCTTCTGTAAACTGGCTTTAAGCAAAACTTTAGGGGAGTGTGTGTTGCCTACTCACTTTCAGATGTAACTATACTTGACTGGTCTCTTGGATCAGCCCAACCCTCCTCTGTTACTTTCTGTTCCCTAAAAATTAGTAATGACCATAACAGTATATTTCCATTAAACTTTTTGGCACCATTAGTTTTGTAGTAATTAACTTATACTTGCCTCTTTGAATACATTTAGACTATTAGAAGATCTTGACAGCAAGAATGGTGAAATTCCTTTTTTCTTTATAGATTGTGTCTAAAATTAGTAGCATAATAAATGACACTACTTGTAATTAAGGCCAGGTTTACAATACGGGCCTATATCGGTATAACTACGTTGCTCAGGGGTGTGAAAAATCCTGAAGCCGAACACCCCCGAGCGACAGTTATACCGATCAAACTCCCCCCTCCTTCCCCCGGACCCTTCCATCCCTGTGTAGACAGTGCTATGTCGACAGGAGAGCTTCTCCCACAGACATAACTACCGCCTCCCGAGGAGATGGATTAACTACACCAACAACAGAAGGTCTCCTGTTGCCACAGTAGTGTATTCATTAAAGTGCTACAGCGGCTGCTGTAGGGTTATATGTGAAGACAACTCCTCAGTCTCGTAATACGGGTTGTAGTATGGCATGGAAGTTAAGTATGAGCTTGTAACTTCTATAGTGTCATGTGGTCAGTTCGAATTTCTATATTAAAAAAAAATTGTATCATTGATTCAGTACTTACAGATCATTATTTTTTCCTCTTCCCAGACATTGTATAATGTGAAAACTCAGATTTTTCCACCATTGGGGGCGGAGTATTGTAAAACAGGCTCACTCTGCTCTTTGGAGGTGTCAATCACCCGACTCTCTGACCTCTTAGATGTGGATAAAGATGAAGCATTAACAGAATCAGATGGGTACTGCACGACGAAACTTATGTATGAAGGTAGGGATAATGACTATTTTTTCTCCTGTAATTTTTGAGAAATTAATGCAATTTTCATTATTGGTTTTGTGTCTGTCTTGATACTAATATCTGCCAAACTTTCTAATGATCATAATGCAGTCTTGTAGACAAGGTTGGATATTAAAAATTTGTGTCTGTCTTAAAATAAAGACTAACATAAAAACAGGTTAGAACATAATTTACTTTTCAAAAATTGTTTCAGTATGGGTAGATATTTGCTTGAGCCTTCAGTAGGCAACAACCCAGGGAATAGATATTTAAAGCTCTCCTAGTGCAATCTCGTCACTTCAGTCTCACTCCATCCGTCCCCATGCACTTTTGCTTTCCTTTCTTCCCTGACCTGTAATTAAGGATAAGTTTTTTGTCACTGAGATCACAGATTCTGTGACTTTCAGAGACCTCTGGGACATTATTCTCTTCAGCTTCAGCCCTGGGGTAATGGGGGCCCCCCCGCAGCTCTCAGGCACTGCTGGGAGTGGGGCCCGCAGCTCTCAGCTGCTGTGGGGGGGGGCCATGGGGACCGCTCTCAGCCAGCACAGGGGGGCCTGCAGCTCTCTATCCATCATGTAGGTCAATGAGTCTCAAGGCCTTCCTGCCTAGCGATGGCTCTGCCACATCTGCCTTCACTGCAAGCCCACTCCTTAGTTTCTGCTTGGCCCAGGGAGTCTAACCAGGGCCCTGAGTAACATGGAATTTGACACAAGTCACACACCTCCTAAAGAAAGAGGTTACAGCACTTTGTTCTTTTTTTTTGTTTATTTGAAGTAAGAGAACAGCAGCAAAGTGGCAAAATTAAGAGTAAGTGCTGAGCAGAGCAGAACCCTAAAACCTTCCATGAAAATGGAGGAAAGATGTTTTGTACATCATGCGATGTACTGTTGATTTTATGAGACGGTAACTGTGATAAGCATCTTGAAAGTACAACTCGTCAGCACAAATGAGGCATTAAAAATGGATGAAGACAGACATTTTTAAAAAACAGAAAACTGTTACACTACTTTTTAATACCAAGAATGAGAAGCGGCTTTATGGGAGAAATGAAAATTTCAAATTAACAGAAGACTTCTCTGCTGCAAATATCCACCTGCATGCTCTTGACAATCAAAAACTGATGGCATAACACCTACTTTGCTCTCTAAAAACCACATGCAGATCAACTTAGAAAGTTTTACCTACCCAAAGTGTTTGACTGTCACATTGAAGAATTAAAGGAAAAGTTGCACACCTGTAAAGGAATTGTCGTTGAGCAGATAAAACTACTGATGCTGAACACAGGTATGTATTTAACATTCTTGCTGTCCCCATCCCAACAAGCAGTGAAAATGCAGGCACTTCACATTAAGAAAAATATATCCTGCGTCTGAAGTTTTGGAAGCAGTCCATTCTAAAACCATCAGCAATGCAATATGGGGAACTGAAAATTTTGCAATACCATTTGATCGCATCACTGTGTTTGTAACAGATAATGCCACATAAATTGGGAAAGCTTGGGATCAAGGTTTGAAGCCTTTGTTTTTAAATGCTATACAACTTATGTGCATGGCACGTTTGCTTAACCTTGTGGGTGATCTATGGAGGAAGATACTTTTGAAAGTAAATTATTTAGCTGTGGCTATAAAATATGCTTTTACTGCCTGCCCTGCCAGAAAAGCCTGGTTCCATATATGCCTAATGGAAATAGGGAAAAGTCCTTCCGTCCCACCAACCTTGGTAATAAACAGATGGAACAGCTGGTTCAATGCAGCTGTTTATCACATGAAACACACTGAGGATTGTTTCATTTTTTACTGAGGAGAATGGTTGTAGCAGTCGTTGAAGTGTTAGAGATTGTGGATCTTTGCCTATCCACAGCAGTTACTGAAGAACTCCAGGCTGTAAAAGAGTTTGCACCCTGAATCATGAACAGGCTTACAGCTATGAAGAGCCCACAGTTCATTCTCATCAAGTCACAAATGACGCGTGTGAGCTTGTGATGGGGGCAGAGAGCTGTTCTGAAACTTGCTGACAACCAACAGCAAAAAACAGCACTCTTGGAAATCTCAAAAGGTCATAATTGGACACTGACTCAACCTCCAACTTTTGACAGTCTGCTGCCATTTTCTTCAGTATATGCCATATATCTGAGCCAAATCAAACACAACATGTTGACATTTGTGAGACCACAGTATTTGAAAATATACCATTGTTTGACGACAACATTCCAGCACAGAGAGAATATTGGGCTTACTGTGGAGCAGTTCAAGAATTGAGGAATGAGGACGTTTTCCAGTTATGGAGAAGCACGATGGCCAGATTTCCAGCTCTGTCAGTAGTTGACTGGTACTGCTAAGCATCGCAGGGCAACAGCATAGACCCCCAACACGCCATCTCATCGTATAAAAATGTGCTTGGGGACAACAGACGCTGCATAACAAGTTATACATAGACAGATGGTTATTTTTTTATATTCAAATTGCAACAGTGTGAAATAGGGTCTTTAAAAAGAATGTTATTTTTGTTCTATAGTTTTTCGTTCTTTGTTTGAAAAATGATTTCACAATATGTATATATAATCTCGAGAGTTTTTGTCAAGCAAGTGAAAACTATTGCATCGATGTTGCTTCTCATGTAAATGTTACACTGTAATACTTTATTATTAAATATTACACATTTTTGTTATGACCATACCATAGTTTTGTTTGTTTTTGCCATGACTGTTCATGGTGCCTGATTTCACCATGACAAAATCTTATCCATATCTATAATACATTTAATGTAAATAAAAATAAAGTAAACCATGGAAAATCTCTACCCTGTTTAGGGAGGGACGGGGGGGGGGGGGGGGAGGGGGCAGGAGAGAACCTGAAACAAAAGCAAAAATCATAGAACTAATATGACTCTGGTGAATAATCACTTTGCTTTTATAAGAGATCCCTTTCTTCTACCTGTGTCTGTCTGGTCTAAATTTAAATTGCAAGCTGTGTGGGATAGGACCATCTTACTCAGTATAGTCATTGGCACAATAGGGCCATGGGGTCTCTTGGCACTGTTGCAAAACAAAAAATACTTTAAATGTATGAAGAAGCATAGCTATTTTTTATTTTCAGAAATTTTTTCATTTCATCGCATTTTCTCTACTCTCTTTCAGTTGTTGACAACAGTAGTAACTGGGCAGTCTGTGGAAAAAGCTCAGGAGTAATATCTATGCCTGTAGCAGCTCAAGCAACTCACAAAGTGCACATGGAAGTGATGCCACTTTTTGCTGGATACCTCCCCTTTCCTGATGTCAAACTATTTAAATACCTCCCTCATCATTCTGCTCACTCCATGCAACTTGATGCTGGTAAGGCTGTCTTGAATATGTGACCACATAGAAAATCTGGTTTATAGAAATGGCACTCTCTTGGTTTTCCTGTCTTTAAAGAAAAACAAAGCTCAAAGTAATGAAATCCATTCTTGGTGTAATTCTGTTCCAGATTAATTGGTTTTGTTACTTTTCATTGACAGCTGTTTGTAATTTTCAAAACAGGGCACTGCTTTCATGAGAATGAAATCTCTCAATTTTAAACTTGAAATTCTGTGTCTAGCTTTAGTCTGTAACAAGGAACACTAACCAGAAAAGACTTTTTAAAAAAAAAATTGATGTAACCTTTAAGATCGTTAATGCCTAAAATATTGAACAATCATGGAGTTAAAATGCATCATTACAAATTAGCAAACTCTGAGTTAGTAGGTAAGATCCCATGGGAAGCAAGTCTAAGAAGAAAAACAGCTCAAGAAAGTTGGCAGTTTTTCAGAGACACATTATTAAGGGCACAAGAGCAAACTATCCCACTGCGTAGGAAAGATAGGAAGTATGGCAAGAAACCACTGGCTTAACCAGGAGATCTTTAATGATCTGAAATTCAAAAGAAAGTCCCACAAAAAGTGGAAACTAGGTCAAATTTCAAAGGATGAATATAAACAAGTAACACAAGTATGTAGGGACAAAATTAGACAGGCCAATGCACAAAATGAGATTAAACCAGCTAGAGACCTAAAGGGTAACAAGAAAAAATTCTACAAAAACATTAGAAGCAAGAGGAAGACCAAAGACAGGCTAGGCCTGTTACTCAATGCAGGGTGGGGGAATAACAGAACGTGTGGAAATGGCAGAAGTGCTAAATGACTTTTTTGTTTCGGTTTTCACCAAAAAGGTTAATAGTGATTGGACGTCCCTAGTCTCTGTTTCCCAGAAGCTGGGAATGGGCAATGGGGATGGATCACTTGATGATTACCTGTTCATTCCCTCTGAAGCACCTGACATTGGCCACTTTCGGAAGACAGGGTATTGGGCTAAATGGACCTTTGGTCTGACCCAGTATGGCCGTTCTTATGTCTAACATAGTGAATGCCAGTGAAATGATCAGAGCCTAAAATAGGGAAAGAATAAGTTAAGAATTACTTAGATAAGTTAGATGTCTTCAGGTCACCAGGACCTGATGAAATGCATCATAGAATACTCAAGGAGCTGACTGAGGAGATATCTGAGCCATTAGCAATCATCTTTGAAAAATCATGAGACAGGAGAGATTCCAGAGGACTGGAAAAGGACAAATATAGTGCCCATCTATAAAAGGGGGAAATAAGGACAACCCGGGAATTACAGACCAGTCAGCTTAACTTCAATCCCCAGGAAAATAATGGAGCAAATAACTTTAAGCAGTCAATTTGCAAACACCTTGAAGATAAGGTGATAAGTAACAGTCAGCATGGATTTGTTAAGAACAAAGTGGATCAAACCAACCTAATAGCTTTTTTTGACAGGGTAACAAGTCTTGTGGAAAGGGGGGGAAGCAGTAGACATGGTATATCTTGACTTTAATAAGGCTTTTGATACTGTCTCACATGACCTTCTCATAAAGAAATGAGGGAAATACAACCTATATGGAGCTACTATAAGGTGGGTGCATAACTAGTTGGAAAACCGTTCCCAGAAAGTAGTTCAGTGGTTGACAGTCAAGTTGGAAGGGCATGTCGAGTTGGGCCTGGAGGGATCAGTTCTGGGTCCGGTTCTGTTCAATATCTTCATCAAAGATTTAGATAATGGAATAGAGAGTACGCTTATAAAATTTGTGGACAATACCAAGCTAGGAGGGGTTACAAGTGCTTTGAAGGATAGGATTAAATTCAAAATGATCAGACCATTTCTCCAGTTTGTCCAGAAGTTGGGCTGTCAAGCTATTAAAAGAAAATAATCACAATTAATCCTGCTGTTAAACAATAATAGAATACCATTTATTTAAAGATTTTTGGATGTTTTTTGATTTTTCAAATAGGATTTAGATTACAACACAGAATACAAAGTGTACAGTGCTCACTTTATATTTTTTATTACAAATATTTGCACTGTAAAAAACGAAATGGTATTTTTTCAGTTCACCTAATACAAGTACTTTCTCTTTATCATGAAAGTTGAACTATCAAATATAGAATTATGTAAAAAAAAACCCTGCATTCAAAAATAAAACAATATAAAATTTTAGAGCCTACAAGTCCACTCAGTCCTACTTCTTGTTCAGCCAATCACTCAGACAAACAAGTTTGTTTACATTTACCAGAGATAATGCTGCCCACTTCTTGTTTATGTCATGGCACTGTTCTAGCCGGTGTCAGAAGATATTTACATTCCAGATGCGCTAACGATTCATATGTCCCTTCATACTTCAACCACCATTCCAGAGGATATGCGTCCATGATAAGTTCTGCTTGATAACAATCCAAAGCAGTGCGGACCAACGCATGTTCATTTTCATCAGCCGAGTCAGATGCCACCAGCAGAAGGTTGATTTTATTTTTTGGTGGTTTGGGTTCTGTAGTTTCCGCATCAGAGTGTTGCTCTTTTAAGACTTCTGAAAGCATGCACCACACCTTATCCCTCTCTGATTTTGGAAGGCATTTCAGATTCTTAAACCTTGGGTCGAGTGCTGTAGCTATCTTTAGAAATCTCACATTGGTACCTTCTTTGCATTTTGTCACATCTTCAGTGAAAGTGTTATTAAAATGAACAACATGTGCTGGGTCATTGTCCGACACTGCTATAACATGAAATATATGGCAAAATGTGGGTAAAATCACAGAGCAGGAGACATACAATTCTCCCCCAAGGAGTTGTCACAAATTTAATTAACGCTTTTTTTTTTTTTGTAACGAGCGTCGTTAGCAGGGATGCATGTCCTCTGAAATGGTGGCCGAAGGGGCATATGAATGTTTAGCATATCTGGCATGTAAATATCTTGCAGTGCCAGCTACAAAAGTGCCATGCAAATACCTGTGTTCACTTTCAGTTGATATTGTAAATAAGTGATTGGCTGAACAAGAAGTAGGACTGAGTGGACTTGTAGTCTCAAAAGTTATTATAGGCTTTAAAGTTTTACACTGTTTTGTTTTTGAGTGCAGTTATGTAACAAAAAAAATCTACTTTTGTAAATTACACTTTCACAACAAAGAGGTTGCACTTCAGTATTTGTATGAGGTGAACTGAAAAATATTATTTCTTATTTTTATTACAAATATTTGCACTGTAAAAAAAAAGTGAGCACTGTACACTTTGTATTCTGTGTTGCAATTGAAATCAATATAATCGATAATGTAGAAAAACATCCAAAATATTTAATACATTTCAATTGGTATTCTATTGTTTAACACTGTGATTAAAACTGTGATTAATTTTTTAAATCACGATTCATTTTTTTTAGTTAATTGCATAAGTTAACTGAATAATCGACAGCCCTAGTCTGAAGTAAATAGGATGAAATTCAATAAGGATAAATGCAAAGTACTCCACTCTAGGAAGGAACAATCAGTTGCACACATACAAAATGGTAAATGACTCCCTAGGATGTAGTACTGCAGAAAGGTATCTATGGGTCATAGTGGATCACAAGCTAAATATGAGTCAACAGTGCAACACTATTGCAAAACAAGCAAATATCATTCTGGGATATATTAGCAGGAGTGTTGTAAGCAAGACATGAGAAGTAATTCTTCCGCTCTACCCATGCTGATTAGGTCTCAACTGGAGTATTGTATCCAGTTCTGGGCGCCACATTTCAGGAAAAATGTGGATAAATTGAAGAAAGTGCAGAGGAGAGCAACAAAAACGATTAAAGGTCTAGAAAACATGACATATGAGGGAAGATGGAGAAAATTAGGTTTGTTTCTTCTGGAGAAGAGAAGACTGAGAGAGGACATAAGTTTTCAAGTGCATAAAAGGTTGTTACAAGGAGGGAGAAAAATTGTTCTCCTTAACCTCTGAGGATATGACAAGAAGCAATGGCCTTAAATTGCAGCAAGGGCGGTTTAGGTTGGACATTAGGGAAAACTTCGTAACTGTCAGGGTGCACTGGAATAAATTGCCTAGTGAGGTTGTTGGATCTCAATCATTGGAGATTTTTAAGAGCAGGTTAGATGAACACCTGTCAGAGTATTATTTGTCTAGATAATACTTAATCCTGCCATAAGTGCAGGGGACTGGACTAGATGACTTATCGAGGTCCCTTCCAGTCCTATGATTCTATAATAGTACTTGAATGTTGAAATCCTAGGATGTTGGCTTGCAAGCAGACTACAGGCACATGGAAAACACTTACTTACATTCACTCTCTTATCTGAATTAGCCTTTTTCCAAAAATTCTCCCAGTGGGCAAAGTATTAGAGTAGACAAGTTACTGGTGGACCCTGGCATATAGACGAGCTCTGAGCAAGTGTAGAACTTTCTAGTTAAAACACCAGGGCCTTCTGGAGCCTTCTGTAATCTAGCACTTCCACTATTTTTTTTCACAATAGTGAATCTGCACCTGTGATGGCAATAATGGAAAACTTAAAATAAAATGTATATAGCCTATATGGCCAGAGAGGGTGGCAAATGGTCATGATTGTTGCTAGGATGGTGAAGTCTTTGTTTTGTCCTCACCAATGAGTAGTAACTCCAGTGCTGCAGTGCAGTCAAACTACAATGTTTTAATTTAAAGCTATTTTATTAATTCATTTCATAGAATGATTGTGTTGTTGTTTTTTTAACAGACAGTTGGATTGAAAATGATAACCTATCTGTGGACAAGAATATGGATGATCAGGCTGACAACAGTAGCATAAAGAGTAGAGGCAGTTTACATTCAGCAGCCAGCGGGGAACATAAAGGTCTGCCAATGCCCCGTCTACAATCCTTTTCACCTGGTCAGGTCTTCAACTCCAGCACGAGCATGCAAATCCTTGTCATTCCCAGCAAGGATGACCATGTTCTGGAAGTCAATATCACATGATAACTAAATATAAATAAACAAGGAAAACAAAAACCATTAGAGACTTGATATGAATGCACTTTAATAGATCATAACCTGATTATTCTCCATTGTAACATTCTGATTTAAACCAGACCTATGGCAACTCAACGCTGACTGGCCATGGAAGCATCAGACAATTTTATCAATTTAAATGTACAGTGGAGGTTGTGTCAACTAGTTTATATTGCTACTTTAGTATGTTTTGTGTAAAATGATTTTCTGTTTTTCCCTTCAGTCACATCCTGCTGGTAAAGTCAAGATGCTTGCTGCAGTTGGTCTGTTGTTTGTGTTACTGGAGCACCCTCCAGATCTGCTGTTTTCTTTTAAAGTAGTCAGATTTCTGTTCACACAAATGTTTCAGGTTGACATACAGTAAGCCTTGCAATGTGGCTGTTAATGACTCAAATGTGTGCCTTTCTAGTCACACGACTGTCTGGTTTCCTGGACCAGGGTAGCTTTCCAGATGCCTAAAGAATAGGGTGAGTGATTCTGAATCCCACAGCATCTAGAAGGGTTTAAAAATTATATATATATTTTTTCCTGAAGACTTGCTTAACCTCTTCTGTGCCTTGGGACATATGAATTATTTACCCATATAAGCCCTTTTGAATCATACCAAGACATTCATTTAAGTCAGACCTTTTAAAAGGCATGGTCCTTGATCTGAACAATAGCATGGCATGTAAGTGGTTAAGTTAGGAATAAATGTTCATGGGATCATCATTTTCCCCCAGAGAGATTTAATTAATGAGAAGCAAGTAGCATCAGATCAGATAGGTAACTTTTTATTAAATACTAGCTCATTTTTTAAAAACCAAAGTCTGTTCCTTCTGACTCCGTGGCCCTAATTAGTGTTTACTGTTATGGACTCTGGAGCTATATATATTTTTGCACCTTAATCCTAGTTTTCCAAAAGTAAATGTCACTTAAAGATTACTTTATTCTTTCCATTCTCATTAAGGGGAAGAATTAAGGTCCTAGAATTGAACCTCTTCTGGTCCAGCAAACTGCAGTCATACCATACCAACTGATTATTTTTCAGTTGTAAATTTTATTGTATATATGGTTGATTATTTAAAAAAAAAAGTCCAAACTAACTGATATGTCTGTGTATAAGTTGCACCAAAAATCAAGGAGAAAATAAATGTGTGTTTTTATTGGTGTGAAAGTCACAGCTTGTAAATAAGTGTAGTGTTTTAAACCTTTTCCAGTTCTCAAAAGCTCTGTATTTTTGTATATATGTATTTCACCGAAATTCACTGGTAAAGTCTTTGGGAGGAAAAAAAATCAGTGTGAACTGATACATGATTCCAGCAGATACGTGGCCTCTTAGTGAAAAACCTGTACAATGCGAATCTTAAAGGAAGCCTCTGCAGTTGTTTCCGTAGGTTCTTAATATTTCTAAGTATAGAGGAACATGGAACAAAGAAAAATCCAAATAGGTAAACTATCTTCAGTCTGATTTTTTTTATCTTGCAGTGTTCAGGGTTTTTTTACTTGTTCATGACTCCTTTTCTTATGCTTTGAAATTCACTCAGACTTGAATGATGCAATCATCAGTTTATTATTTTTGTTTTTTAGCTAGGAAAAGGTAAGTAACTTAAAGGTTTTCCATAAATCTTCCAAAAATATTTGATCTACAATGTACTGAATTTAAAATTAATAAACTCATTCAGTTTGCTACCTGAACTACAACCTTAAAGTGGTAGTTGCTCTGCTGATTTTTCCTTTCTTTAGCATCATGAACTTCGTTTGTAGTTTTCTGAGTAGCTACAGTCTATTGCATATTTAAGAATCAAAAACACATGGAAGAGGAGGGACCAATGAAAACAACCCGAGAACAGTCAGCTGTGCTAATTTTTGCTTCACACTGAGGGAAAATAGTAGGTTATACAATCTGTATACACTGGAATCTCCCCTACACTACAAAATCACCTAAGTTGTGAGTTGCCATCCTGCACTGACCTCTACTGAAGCAAGAGTGACTGTTGGAGTTCAAAAATGCATTCAGATAATGTAAACTACTTGGTTTCTAATTGAGTTCCCAGATTAAAAAAAAAAACTTTATTTGCATTTAAGTGGTTTGTATTTTCTCTGCCCTGGTTTTAAAACAGGAAAATGTTTCAGTATAAATGTGACATCTAAACAATCACTTTTCATCACAAAAACTACCACAAAGGCTTAGTCTAATTATTACTACTTAGAGGCAAGACTTCTGCATATAGGATGGATGAAGTAGGTTGGTTTTCTATTTAGGAAAATTTGCAGATGTAGAATAATTGTGAAGCAAAGTTAAAGTGTGTGTAACTGAAGATAAGTATATATAGCTAAATTCTTTATCTGTCAAACGTTGTAAATACTATCAAACGTAAAAAAAAAAAAAGAGGTATAATTTTTGTGAATGTCACAGTTTTGTGTGTGACTGGAAAGATTATAACTCTCCTTGTTGTTTTCTCCTGTTAATATGGAAATTGTTGCACTTAACGTGAGATTGTGACTTTCTACCTGCAGTTGTATAAAGTCCCATTGTCAAGGCACTGTACACAGGAAAATATCCCATACTAAATATTTGTCAATAAAAATAAACATATAAAAGAGAAATTATGAGGATAGGATCTCCTGATAAACTCTTCCTCATTTTTTCTTTTGTTTTTAAACTCAGGTTATGTGAAAGTAAGTAAAGAAATAAAACCATCCTCTTTGGAAGGGAATGGAAAAGAAATTGGAGAATGAGTAAACATCTTGTATTAATCTAAATATTTTACTTAGACAAAGATTGCTAAAATATAATTAGATGTGCTAGTACAAAGCCTTATCTTTATTCCATCTTCTTTCTGTGAAGGAATGCCCTTTCTTTGTGGAATTTATACTTAGACGATTTTAATCCAGATAAAACCCAAAGCATCATTTAGTATGGATGGCTGCTGGGATTCTTTGACTGGAAAAGGTGACAAGTTAGTGACTTTGACACTGCGGGTATTATGATTAATTCCATTTTCTTGGTTTACTATTAAAAATCATTTTTCACATTGTTCTGTAATATATATATTGTTAGACTAAACACAAATTGTATTAAGATTGTTTAATGAAAATGTAAGCATTATAATTCTAAAAATATACATGTTTTAAAAAGAAATCCAGATTCTCTGTTGTGATTTCTCACACTTTTGCACTTTAAATAGCAAAGTAATTATAAATCCATTTACTACTATTTCTATTCAAAATGTATACTTTCCTTACTCTGGGCTAAAATAGATTAATATTTTCCCTTAAGGAGGTCTTAGTTAAATTTAAATGGGAGGTATTTGAAGCATAACTGTTACAGAAACAAAGCACTGGAGAATAGGCTTCTCCATACATGATTGGACTCCAATCAGTAATTGCTTTTGCAAGGAGGCAACCCAAGTCTGGAATCTGGGCTGCTGCTCCTCACTATTTCAGGTAACTCAACTGCTAGTAGCTCCGTTAGAGCCCCTTTTACTGCAGTGTGTAGTCACTGCAGAACAGGCCTGATGCCATCTGCTCCATGGGACTTCACCATCACCTAAGGAAAGGGAGAAGACTAAAAGATGCAGCCTCTCTCCCCAACTGCCCAGTGGCCTGGTAACCTGTCCTCTGTGGGAGGGGTGGATAAGGTACAGACTCAGAGGAGAGAGCACAGTGATGTAGGAGGGATCAGGCAATCTCCATATTGCTTTAATCCTGTGTTAGGAATACTGGTAGATCTCCTGAGCCAGCAGTTTTTTCATATGGTGAGATAGGGCCATCTCTGTTTTGCCTGGAGGTACCATGGTCAGTCAACAGAAAGGGATCTCACCTTTGGTATGGTGAAGGTCTCTACCATAATTTTGAACATGTTAACTTTTTACTTCAAATCACTTTAAACCCGGGGGGTGGGGGAGGAGAATGCAGTCTCTTGCCATTAGTGCCACAAGTGGGATGCAAGAGTACTGAGAGCCAGTGTGTTGGCTGAGGTGGACTTCATTTCCACTAAGGTGCTGGTGTTCTGTCATGGATTTGGGCAGATGGGCTTTGGAGAACAAGATCTCCACGCCAAGGTCATTCATGTCAAGGGATAATCCCCACACTGGGTTTCCTTACCATGAACATAGTGAGTAGATTGTCAGGGAAAGTATCTTACTCTTTTCCTTGGTGCTTTGATGTCTATTGTCTTTTCTGTTGCATAATTTGAACTCTCTGGTGGTAGCACTACCTTAGTTTTGTCTTTTAAGACATTTCCTAGTCTAGATATGATCAATGTGTTAACATACTTTTAAAGTTGACTTATTTTCCTAGTATAGATATGGCCTTGCGGCATGCTGAGCAAACCCCTCTCATGGGAACAGAGAGTGGGATTGACGTGTCCCCCACCGTAGACTGATCTGTGCCACTGATGGAGCATAACTGCACATACAAATCTTCTAGCCCAGTAACCATGTTAAAAGAAATTAGGATGTGTTGGTATGATTTAAAATGTTCCTGATCTGTCAGAGCTAGCTACTTATAGCCCTGTTAACCTTTGTGTTAAACTGATATGTTGCGGTATTTTTCCAGCTATCAGAGTTAAGTTGGCTAGTCTATTAATTGCCCAGATCCTCTTTATTCCTTTTTTAAATTAAGTACTATGCCCTTCTCCAGCCCTGAGACCTCCCTCTCCTCCCATGAGTTCTCTAAAATAATTGCTAAGGGGTCTGAGATTGCTTCAGCTCTTTCCTAGCATGCATTTCCTCGTGCCCTGCTGCCTTGCCTATGTTTAACTTAACTTAGTCTTCTTTAACCTGTGTTTCGTCTGTCTCTTCCCTCCCTCTATTCTCACCCCTCCCCCCCTCCCCAACGCGGGGTGCATAGTAGCGCCTGGTCCCTACAGAACAACCCCCATGCACGCGCAAGTGCTACGGCCCCCTTGCCAGCGCCTTAACAAGAAACGCGCAGGCGCCTTCCAGTCCCTAAAACGAGCAGAAACCAGCCCCCGCCCCGCTGCGCGCACGCCCGAAAGCGCATGCGTAGGGCTGCTCCCCGGATCTGTGGTGCCTTTTCCCTCCCAAACGCCAGGGGGCGCTTGTGGGGCTGGCCGCCTCCGTGAGTGACCCGGAAGTGAGGGAGCCCGCGGCTCGAGGAGACAACGGGGCCGCACGCGCTTTCCATGTGCAGGGAGACGCGGATCAGCAGGAGCCAGCGCGAGCCCCGTCGCGGGGATGAAGTTCGCTTACAGGGTAAGGGGGTGGCGCGCGTGCCACCGGCACAGCCCGCGCCCCGCCCCCCCGGGCGTTCTTCCCTGTGCCGCCCCCCGCCGCCTGGGACCCTGCCCCAGAGTCCTCCCCCCACATCCTGCCCTGAGTTCCTGGGAACCCCCCATGGGACCCCCGCCCTGCTCCCCCTGCGCATCCCACCCTGTGCCCCCTGCAGAGCCCCAAGGACCGCCCCGACACACACACCCTGAGTCCCTGGGATCCCCCCATTCACTGGCCCCCATACACATCCCACCCTGTGCTCCCTGCAGAGCCACAAGACTGCCCCCTCAAATATCCTGAATCCGTGGTATCCTCCCATGAATTCTCCCTATATTGCCCCCCCATACACCACCTACCCAGTGTCCCCTGCAGAGTCCCCTTCCCTCCCCTCCCCCCCCCCGACGCCCCTGGAGTCCCCGGGAACAACCCATCCCTTGTTGCATGGATCTCTCTACACTGTGCCCCCCTCCCCCCATACATTCTGCCTGGACTGCCCCAAGGCTCCCCACACACGCTGCTCTGAGCACTTAATAACTGTTCCGTCTTTACCTCTCTGAACCCCTGCCTGCCCCCTCCAGCACATTGAGCTCCCCCTAGGGGATTGTCACCACCCCACCCTGACCCTTCAGCATCCCTTCCCTGGGATGCTCCTTCCTGTTAAGCCCCCAGTAAGAGCACCTCTCCTTTCTCTCCCAAGTTCTCTAACTTGCTGGGCACTGTTTATCGGCGTGGGAACCTACATTTCACCCCAGATGGTAACTGCGTCATCAGCCCCGTCGGGAACAGAATCACCATCTTTGACCTGAAAAAGTAAGTGACCTGGGCTTGTACAGTGCCTTTTCTGCTAACTGGTGTGATAGTCCAGTTGGACTATGTATAAACCACATATCTTCATTTTAGCTCCTGAAAGGCTGGCACTTAACTGGGGCTGGAGATGCTGGATAGTGAAGTGTTTGGATACGACCATAGTGATGGGAATGGGATAAATGGTAGGAAAGCTGTTCTAGTCTAGTGGTCAGGAGTAGGATACTGTACTAAGATTTGGGGGACCTAGGTTCAATTCTTGGCTCAACCACTGATCTGCTTCTTTGAGCAAGTCACTAAGTCGGGTAGGCAACCTATGGCAGGTGTATGGTGCAAGCTGATTTTCAGTGGCACTCACGCTGCTGGGGTCCTGGCCACTCGTCATTTTAATTTAATTTTAAATAAAGCTTCTTAAACATTTTAAAAGCCTTATTTACTTTACACACAACAATAGTGCAGTTATATATTATAGACTTATAGAAAGAGACCTTCTAAAAACGTTAAAATGTATGACTGGCACGTGAAACCTTAAATTAGAGTGAATAAATGAAGAGTCGGCACACCACTTCTGAAAGGTTGCCCACCCCTTCACTAAATCAATCTGTGCCTCTGTAAAATAGGAGTTTTCCCTATTTCCTTGTGGTGTTTTAAAATCCATTAAAGACTGGGAGGCACACAGATGAGGGCTATATAAGGAACTCAATAGATGATACTATGAGAACTGAATAGAACGGAATTAGTGTGTGGCAAGTTAATCACTGAGAAGGAGGCAAAAGATTTTGCTTCGTGTACAGGCACTGCAGGCATCCAGAATAGAAGTGTGTATAGTAATCTTCTCAAATAAAAAGTATCTAGGTGAGAGACGGGAATAATCTTCCTGATACAGAGGTGTCTGGAATAAAAAATGACTAGCATTCTCAAACACTACCACTCTCTTACAGTAGTTTCAAAAAGTAAAAAAAAAAAAAGTAGAAGCCTATATAATAGGGTGACAGGAGATATCAGAGAATGCATATTTCATGTGTAAAGCTCTACACTGATACAAAATTTGTATCTGCATCCGATCCACAAACATGATCTGTGGATATCTGCAGATTTGCAGGGCTCTATTGTAAAATTTGGATCCACATCCATCTGCAAACATGGTCCCCGGATGCGGATATTTGCAGGGCTCTATTCATCTGCATGGATCCATGAGAAGAGTAGTTGTACAAATGAAAGTATTTTAAAACATTGAGTAAAGAAGATCAATAGTATCAGTATGCATTTGATATGGTATGGTACCCCGTGCAGTTCTGTTGTGTGGTTTTTTGTTTATTTTACTCTGTGGGAAGTGGGAGTCTTGGTGTCCCTGATCTATTTTTAACCTTCCTATCTTTAAAGGTCTGCATTGTGGCCATCATGCTGCTGGCTACTAGGCAGTATTCCATTCAGCACCACTTCTTATTCATCTACAGGGCAGATGTTGAGCAGCATGAAGTAATCTCAGGGGTTATGCACCCTGTTTCCACACCACTCCCAGTCCATGCTCACCCTGCACTAGAAATCAAGCCCTACTCCTCTGAAAATGAAAAGCATTAGTATATTACAAAGTCATTAGACCACTCTTACACCATTGTGGTTAATGTTGTTTTATTGGTTTTCTTTTCCTCCAGTAATAAGTCAGAAACATTACCATTGGCAACACGGCACAATATCACATGTGTGGGGCTCTCTCCAGATGGAAGTCTTGCCATATTAGTTGATGAAGGTATTTGGGGTTTTTTTGTTCTTAAAGGTGTGTCAGAGAACTACAGTTTGCAGAAGACAATCCATTCTATTAAATATGATAATATTTACCCATAACTAGCCACATTTGACTAAACCTAAATTCTAAAAACGTATATTTCTTCCTCAGAATTTTCAAAGTTGTTGAACCAGAATGTGGCTTCTTTAATTTTGTTCAGATTTACTATGTTAATATTTTAAAATGGTGTTACATTGAAAAGCCCCACCCCGAAAAAGATGTCTGGCTTAAAAAAAAAATCTATGTACCTATAGTTTCTTCAGAGTGTCAAACTGTTTCAGTGATCCTTTTCCTTCCTTCCTTCCAGAGGGAGCT